CTTTATTTTCCAGCACTGAACAGAGAAACAATCCATTCAGCCTCATTAAAAATTGTAGCAAATAGCTCAAGAGGAAGCAACAAAACATGAGAAGTAGCTAATTCATCACAACCAACCACAGCAGATCTAGTTTTGATTGAGTAATTGCTATCTGCAATTACATGAACTTGTACCTTTAAGAAATTTGCTATAATTTTTCACAGGCTTATCATTTCCATATCGCCCTAATAGCTTTCTAAAAGCATTACACAAATGGACGTTTGCTGGTTTAAGATATTTCAAATAAGATGACTTTTCCTTTAGATATATTTTGTTTGCTGTAATCATGTTCAAAGCATTAATATTACATGAAAGATGAAAATATGGACTTCCATATCTATAGTACACAGTTACTGGTCCCAGTTTAGGAGGTGACTAGAATTAATAACATCATCAACCCCTATAAAAAGGGTTGACCAGTTGTCGAGGTGGAATACTCTACTGGTGCCCACGTAACACAGGTTGCTCCAAGTATTAGCAGTGATAAATTCTGGTTATTGATAAAAACTTTGGTATGTTTCATTGATTGAGATGCTTAATGCAGAATTTCAGGAACAAGACTAGTTGTATAAGATTAAATGGTAGCCATTCATAAGCAATTAGACCTGGATTTTTAGACCAAAGTGAACTATTGATGAAAATAATCTTGAGGAAAGTGACTTGGCATAAGAGGGGATCAGGTTAATTCTTTAGTGAATATGGTTACCCCAGAAGAAGCATCCTTGTGAAGCTGTTTTGTCAAGGAATGGATGATACATATAATATCTAATGTAATGAATAAATTAAAAATAGTTTTAAGTATATCTTAATCATTCATTGTGCATAGTCTCAATGATTAAAAAAAATAATACAATGCATATGGTTCTCCAGAACTGTGAATATAGTTTTAGATCTGCTAAGAAATGTGAGAACAGGATGCTTGTACACAAATTAAAGTGGATATCTCGTATGTTTTATATAAATATTAAGGCTAAAACTGTAGAACTAGAATTTTCAGTTTTATATTCATTTTCTACTTCCTTTTCATCCACTGTAAGTCTCCAAATGAAACAATGCACAATACTTACCAGATCTTATTACATAATTATAATGATCAGGATTTTATCCAAGTCAAACATTTGATAATACTTGGCTATATCATCTGAATGAGTTTTTTAAATACAGTACAAACTTTTAGTTTCTATCTTTGTGCTACACTGTGTGGATCTGTCATTACAAGAAAAAAATTGTACCACAAATTGTGTGCGTGTTGTCAATTATAGTTCCGTGAATATCTCCCCGTGAGGTTTTCATAGAACAACCTTGACAATACAATATACTTAACCAGACTAATTTTCATATAATCAATATAGAAATGTAATGCAATTTCACTTGCAGTTGATTATACAATATACAACAAAGCTAGAACACATATGCCAATAATGTGAACTATAATGTTTTCTTTATCCCAATCACTCATGTCTTTTTTTACACTAAAAAAAAAAAAAATCCATGTTCTCATGGTCCTCAAGTAAAATTGTCTAAAATAATTTCTAGTGTCTAATATAGTACATAAATGTATAACATCTTGAGATATTTAAAATTCTGTTCACATTAGTACCAGTTCTTGAAAACATTTAAAGGAAAGATTACAGTCTTAAACTGGGAAATGAAATGCCCAACAACACACCAGGGTAGAGGAAAATGTTAAATTCGATGATTTTTTAACTTTTGCCAGCTTAAAAACTGTAACAAGATTTGCATACAAGGATTATTTGCATTGTTTCAATAGAGCCTATTTTCCTATTTAGAACATAGAATATAGACCTTATTAAAGTACTATCAATGTGCAAAAACCTTGCTATCTTGTACCATTTTGCTGGGAAACTTAATAATTCCATAAAACAGGGATCCTACATACTCAGCTTAGCTCACCACGACCTGTGCTGGAGTAACATTAATCTTGCTCAAAATAATTACAAAATCTTATTCCCCGAACAATACCCTAAATTGGGGTTATGAAGCCAATATATAGTCAAATTCCAAGATCCTGGAAGATTCTCAAAGTGAAGACATTAGTACAGACCACAACCACGGAGATTGTTAGCGATGATTACATCCGTTACAGCGTCAAACACGAACTGTATATTGGTAGTATCAGTAGCGCAGGTCATATGGCAATAAATCTCTTTGTTCGTTGATTTGTTCTTTGCTTCAAACTGTGCCTGGATGTATGATGATGCTTCGTTATATTCCATGGATCCTGTAAAACAACAAGTTATTTATTTAAGGCAAGAACTTAAAATAAAAAATCACTGTTAAATCAGTCATAATACTGTAATCCTTCAAATAAAAAGGAATTCGAAACTGATGTACTGATAGGAATTCACATATGTACACTGTAAAGTTCTTGTTTTGGTGAGTGTGGTAACAGTATCAGAGTGTGGAAGCAAGAGGAAACACAAGTGGACGATGGATGTGTCAAAAGTAAAATTCCAATGTTTGCTTGTCTCTCCTCTCCCACCACATTTCTATCTGTCTAAATACGTAACTTATATTCAGTTCTTATATCTTCCATAAGTAATGTTTTCTGTATAGTACCGCTGTTTGTTATCTTTCCATTCCTGTGTTTTCATTGCTGCCTCTCCCTAACCTTTTGATGTCATAGGCCTTTAAAATACCAGGAGAGAGAGAGAGAGAGAGAGATTCTCCATCTTAATATTAAATAAGTTAAATCTATGCATCTGATGTAGATCATTAACACCATTTATATATAGGAGTAACTTTGTATGAAATTTTATCAAAATTTATATTCGACATCAGAGGCACAAAATTTAACCAAGGAACTGAAATTGCTGTACAGTGATCCCTCGGTTAACGAACGCCTCGGTTAACGAGATTTCGGTTAACGATTTACCTTCCATATGATTCTTAACTTCGGTTAACGAGCAATCCCTCGATTAACAAGTTTTTTACGAGCTGGCATCAACATGTTTTCGCTTGCATTTGGCGGTCCACCAGCTGTAGTATTAGTCCGCCAATACAGTAATCGGTTTTAGGGCTTAAATTCCTTACTATTTTAGTAAATATCAAGAAGTTTATACTATTCAATAATTTTAAAAGTTTAATATTAACTTTTTTAGTCATTTTAACAATTATTGAACATAATTGAAGGTAAAGAAACTAGTTTCTGGCATGCCATCTAGCCTGTTTACACACCAGACAGGCGTTAGTCTCTCTCTGTTTTCAGTGTAGGTAACATCTTGCTTGAGACTCTCTTCAACTAAATGCTCTTTTTCTGTGTTTCCAAGCAAATTATTGGTCATTTTGAAATTTATTTTACATATTGACAATATATAATGCAGTGCAGTGTTGATTTAAAGAAAATAATCTTGAATTACACCAAGAGAACTAAAATTTTATGGGTGAAATGGTGCCATGGGATGACTTCTCTTCCACCCCAAAGCCTTCTCTTCTCCCTTCTCCTCCACCTCCATTCTAATTCCCATCATCATCATCATCATCCAGGAGCCTTCTACATACACACCTCATAGTAAGTGTACTTTTCTACCTTTTTTGTTGAATTTAGGCAATTTTCGGTGAGCTGGAACCAATTACCCAAAAACCCATTGAAACAATGGTTTCGGTTCACGAGTTTTTCGGTTAACGAGCAACCTGCTGGAACGAATTGTGCTCGTTAACCGAGGGACCACTGTACTGTATATCCTAACTACATTTGTAATTGACCTTTCAGTGCTACAAACTTATATCAAGATCAGTAACCTAAAGAAACATCCTATATTAATATGAAAGTACTGTAAACAGTGGAGTGGAGTGGAGTGGAGTGGAGTGGAGTAAAGTACAGTACAGTATACCTGTATTTTCAAATATATTTCATTAAGTTGTTTACATTCCTTCAAATGTCTTTAGAAGGCAGATATTCCATATGAATTATGTACTCATGCCTATTCAACAATACTATTAGCAATACATTAGAGAGAAATAATCATAACTAACTAGTGTTGGTCTCATAACTACAGTTCTGTACACCTTACCAGTGTATTCCTGGAAGCAGATAGTTAGTGGTGACCTCTTAATCTTTTCTTCAAACAAATCTTTCTTATTGAGGAAGAGGATGATGGAGGTGTCCCCAAACCATTTGTTGTTACAGATTGAGTCAAAAAGCTTCAGGGACTCTTGCATACGATTCTGTAATTAGTATCAGGAACTGTTAATATTATACTGTACATGTGTACACTCTATATTAAGCTGTGGGATGGAGAACATGATGTATATACAGTACTGTATTGTATTAGTAAACCATTCATTATCACATCTTTTATAATTCATTTGTGGATTTTTTGAATTACTGTATTACATATTTACAATTTTTATATCATAAGATCTTAAGGGCAACCTGAGTGCCCAGATGATGTTGGCCAGAACTCAGAAAACATGCAAGGATGTGTGGTGGCTTCCTGTACTGCGGGAGATGACACACCATCAACTGACCAACCCAGGCTAGGTCAGCTGATGAGACTTGGAGGAAATTTTAATATGAAAATACTTCAGAAAATTAATTACTGTATTTCCAAAAACCCGATATTTAAGTGTATAACTAACTTCTACCAAAAGAGTAAAAATCAATGGAAACTTACGGTGGTTTCATCTTCGTGCAGAACTTGGTCGTACTCAGACATGGCTACGCAGAAGATGATGGCTGTAACATCCTCAAAACAGTGAATCCATTTCTTTCGCTCAGAGCGCTGCCCTCCAACGTCAAACAATCTGTTGATTAAAATGAATGTTGCAAGATTATCAGACCAACTTACTACAAGCACTTTCAAAAAACATAAACAGTTTATCATGAATTACAATACATGTAGTTTTTCTTTATCAGCATGCATAATGTTAACATATTTCATGACTTACCTAACCCAAGAGTTTTTAAATAATGAAGGTTGAAAATAAAATGCTGTAAATCCAAATGAAATGTACATTTATTTTGCAAAGGTTAGTCATAAATAAAAATACTTCTCCTTGCGTGGCATTGCCCCAGATAGCGACAGATCGACAGTTATTCGCCAACAGACAGTTCTCGAGGAGAGTTACGGATATCTTCTCCTCTCTTAAAATGTAAATGTCATTAATATAATTAATATTAATTTACTATCTAGAGAAGCAAATACACTGTACAAAAGTGAGCGGTCAATCTTATACCAAACATGAGAGGATGGGTTTTTAATATACCATATACATTACATTACAATATAATATTCAGACAATTATTACACAGGGATATGCTCTACTCTAAGACATATTCGGAACCTTCTCTGCACTGTTGATTTCTTGAGGGATTTTTCAATGTTTGTCTCTTTTTTTGTGCATCATCATAATAATAATAATATAGTTCTATGAACACTGTACCACAATCTTAAACAGTAAGAACAAAGAGGATATACCTGACTTAATAGTTAAAGGGAGTGACAAGAGTTGGTGACTTTCTCCACTCTTAAAGAACAAGCCTAACACCACACATACATCTTTTTTTGTTTTTTTTAATATTGATAATTTTATAAATACTTTAGTCACAGGGGAAAATAATAAAATTTATCGATAATAAGTTCCCATGAGAGTGATGGACTTCCACAACAATGAACATCATCATCATCATCGGACTGATTGTTATCTTGTGATTAAGGGAGGAGGGAAGCAATGAATCTGCCAAAATGAGCCCTGAACATTAGTAATATTTTAACTTAATTCTTTTCATAAAATATAAAAAATTTCTATGGCTCAAAATAGCAAATGGCATTGCATGAGCTAACTAATCCTGCAGGAAAATAACACAAATAAACTGTAATGATTCCTCATGCACAACAACTATTAATAATAAAAAAGAACATGTGAAATAAAGCTTATGACAGAATATAAAAGAAAGGTTGTAAGGTGTATAAACAGAAACAGACATCACTGCATATTAAATCGATTTAGAAAAACAAATAAATGAGTTACGATAAAGTACGAGGCAGAGCTCCCTGGTGTGGCCGAAACATTTATTTTAGGCAGTGGGGGCAAGCACAGCACACAAGTCAATAACATCATCACCAGGAAGGTTTGCCTCAAGTCTGCTCTTCCCTACCAATCCTTCTACACAATATGTAGAGTTTCTGAAATGTCTTGGTGGGGTTTAGCTGCTTAAAAATTTAGCAGACTACCAGAGATTAGTATAGATCTAATAAAACTTAGTTTGCCTTTTCACAAGACAAGGACAAATCATGTTTATTGAATAACACTTTCTCTGGCAAATCATATTAGGTTTGAAATGTACCTCTGATGATGTCTCCAACCAATTACTGTATAGTTTTGTCTAATACCACCACTAAATAAATATAACTATATATTTATTAACCAATAGATTCATCTCAGAAGCTGGGAATTCTTCTGAGTACTTACTACATGCAGAATGATGGTCCCAAATCCAGATTGTTTTGCAATATGTATTTCTCACTTATACATGGAAATAAAAAAAAAAAAAAAGGCTGGGGGTGGGGAGGGAGAGATGTTCTTCTCAGAAAAATTACTTTTTATATGAAGGGCTGATGACCAACTTCCACACCACAGGAGTTAAACAGTATGAGGAATGCATACAAGCGTAGGCCATGGTAAGGGCTTTTCATCATTAAGTCATCTCGTGTCAAAAACTGAATAAATCCAAGTTTAAGAGACCTTTGATATTTGTGAGATAATATTAATTACAAGTGTAATCATTAGTACAGATAATAACACATCTTGTACCCACTGGTGTGCGTGTGTTGATTCTATAACTGTTGTCTCTGTTTTCTTACAATACGATTTTCCTGAATTTATTATATTACCAAGAATGAATAAAACTAGACATGTAGACAGAGCCAAGCCAAGTAGTTGGCAATCATATATGACTTCTATAGCTTTAATCCCCTCGCTTTAAATGCCCCTTTATGTCGACTGGAGTCTTTGGGTTGACAACATGAGTTTTAATAAATTTGAGTCGTGATGGACAAGGCACTACAGCACTTGACGGGGAGGTGTAGCAGTAAAATGAACTAATTTCACTACTATAATTTCATTTTACTACCACGCCTCCCCATCCAGTACTGCAGTGTGGTGTACTTCGTGAATCAAATTTGTTAAAATTCAGATTGTCAACACAAAGACTCAGGTCAATTGAAAGGGACATTTAAAATAATGGGGGTTAGAACTTTGTCAATTTGCATGTACAGTATCACATGGGTGTTACAGGTGACTTTACTAAACAAACAGCTCTGAATTTGATGTGAACACCTTGGCTTCGCTCATAAATGCTACAGGAAGTAAATTTCTTAGCCATAACATGAACAAACACAACTACTGTAATATTGTACATACAGTACCATCAAAGATACACAATTAAGTTTCTTTGGGGGATATTTTGTTTAAACAACCAAGAATATTTCAGCAATCAATCAAAAACTAATTCTGTGAGGGGGAAGGTTCCGCCATTGGAACATGGCTATGTAAGGGCAATGGTAGTTGTAATGCATGTCATCACTCTTGGAAATGGGCTTTCCTCTATGGCAAGATCTTTGTTATGAATAATGGTAATGTATATCTTGTTTTTCTTAGGTGTAGTTTTATTGGAAGTAATCACAGGCCACTTGTGAACTTATCAGTAAATTATCTTCCAGTCACTTTTTATGTATAAATTATACTAATTATCCAAGAGATAAGAGGCAATCACCTTAGTTCAAAAAGGGGGAACCATTTTTTATTAGATTTTCCTGTAATTGTCTAAGTATGACTCTGCATTTCAAAATGCAATTTCCTATTGTGTTACATCACTGACTTTTGTGAAGAATGACTAAGAATACAAACATGACTAGAAAGAATGACACTCACTGCTCTGAGCCACCAATATCAGCCTTATAACCTTGGATATCAACTGACCTTAATACCCAGAGGGTTTTCTTCAAACAAAACCTAAAATTGACAAATACTGAGTGAATTTTGTTATAGTAAGGCTTGTTGGTTATCGGTGATAACAAGATAAAATTTATAAACAATGCTTCAATAAAGCACTAGCTATAAAAATGCAATCTTGCTTACTTGTGCCTGTGTTTTGCATTTACAGTACAGTCCATGATAAATCTTATAGCTTGATAAACCAACTTGTAGGCAGCAGCTACAACTGTAAGGCTTCAGTAGGTAATACAAATTATATTGGTGCTAATATACAAGACAGGAAAGGATTCCCAAAATTTTCAAACATCATTCACAGTTTCCTCGTCTTAAGAACCATAACAATCACATCCGGCATTACTGGAAAATACTGTATCTTAAATCATTCCTTTAATAGCATCACTGACTTCTTGTTTATATATATTTCTAAAATAAAATCCCACCTTCCACAAGCCTGATCTACTAGGCTGCTTCCTCACTCTGATTACAGTCCAAACAGGAGTAAACGAGCAGGTCGCTGATGGGTATGGTACAACTAGCAAAATCTCCCAGTATTAAATGTCTCGCTAGGCAAGCAAGTACATTTCCTGAAGGAGGGGGGAGGGGGGCTAGACCACGACTGTACCAAGTTTCCCCTACATTGAACACATCTAGGTGGAGAGGCACAGTTTAGTAGAGTCCACACCCACGGAGGTTGTTCGCTATGATCACATCCGTCACGGCGTCAAATACAAACTGAATGTTGTTTGTGTCGGTGGCGCAGGTCATGTGACAGTAGATCTCTTTGGAAGTCGACTTGTTCTTAGCTTCAAATTGGGCTTGGATATATGCGGCTGCTTCACCATACTCTTGTGCTCCTGAAATGATTTATCGTAAACATGATTTTGTGGTCGACATTGATCACATTACCGATACAGTACAACACCACTACAGATGTATTTCAATATAATACAAGTATACATATATGTGTATATATCAAATAAACATGAATTACAACTTGGAATATAATACTGTACTTCCTGTTGCTCGGATAGGACGTGTATAATTAATGTTGTTATTATTATATATAAAACAAACATTAGCAATTAACATAATTGTACCTGTAATCTGAAACTATATAAACCAATCAAACAGCATTGCCATTACTGTATCTCTAAAACTAACCAAAGAGAGAGAAAAAATAATGTACATTACTCTAATACTAGTATTCTTCATATTAACAAATCAATATATCAAGTCATGATAAAAATTTCCTGAACAATTTACTCATAACTTGTACAACACATAAAAATCATTTGGGCAGGAATAAATTACTGTACCCGAATATTCTGGAAAACATATGGTGAGTGGACTTTTCTTGATTTTCTCCTCAAATAAGTCCTTCTTGTTAAGGAAGAGAATAATTGACGTGTCAGTGAACCACTTGTTGTTGCAGATGGAATCAAATAACTTAAGTGACTCTTGCATGCGATTCTGGGGGGAAATTTTTTTTAATTAACTGTACATATATTACTGATCGCGTAAGATGCAAATATTCATATCAATACAACACTTGACAAACAGTATAGGGTAAATCATATTTCATTTAAATTCATATTACAACATTGAAAAAAAAAAAAAAGCTTTGTTAAGTTTCCAGTTACTGTATACATATTAAACACTGTACAATATACGGTATACATTTCTATTAAAATGTTGAGTACAAGTATTTGGGAAGTAACATTAGCTGTGATGGTAGATATGCAAAAGAAAACAAAACAAGGATAGGTCAACCATAATAATAAAATAATAATAATAACAATAACAACAATAACAATAATAATAATAATAATAATAATATTAATAATAATAATAAATAATAATAATAATAATAACAATAATAATCATAAAGAACTTACCGTCGTCTCATCTTCGTGCAGCACCTGGTCGTACTCAGACATGGCAACACAAAAGATGATAGCTGTCACATCTTCAAAACAATGTATCCACTTCTTACGTTCTGATCGCTGTCCGCCCACATCAAACAACCTGAAGTGTAGTTTAGGAAGTTAAATTTCTAAACTTAGTCTTTACATATCACATTAAAAAAGGGTAACTTCACCCTTTCAATAAAACTATTACAGTAGACGATATATCAGTCGAAATCTAAAATTACTCATGAAACAACACGAATGTACAATTATATCATGATCCTAATATGTTCATCATTATAATATGTTTCATCTACCACACAATGGTCATAAACTTACAGCTAAGCATAAAAGTACAATATTATAATCTTACACATTAAACAATAAAGAAAATCATTTTGTGAGGGCAAATGTGAACGGTACATCCCATCGTACAAACACCGAGTCATGCACCCCATCTACCTTAATGCTACCGTGTGCTGTCAACACAAAACTCTACAAAGTTCATAGAATGTATCATCAGCAGTTCTCCCAGTCTTAAGATCACAAGACTTTGAAGGTGTCCCATTAAACATGAAAGGTAAATGTTAACTTACTCACTGCAATGTTGTCTGGTGTGAGGAAGGGCTGGTAAGGTTTATTTATTACATACAGTACTGTACTTACACACATCTACAATTATATAAATTTCAAGAACACACTCACTATATATACAGTAATGTGATTGATCCACGACAAAAAGTGGATTTAATGGGTGGGAGGCAAACACCGGAGAGAGTTAGGTTTATTTCTTTCTCTCTTAATATATTCGAGTTACACAGAACCCATCTTCAGAGAGATTTACCAGAGAGTTCTTTCCCATGTTCTCCTCCCACTCATCAGATGCACAGTAATTAACCACCAATTAGGAAGTTTGTCTCAATCTGTATGACTTTGGTGTAAAATTTAAACCAAACGAAACTACACAAATTGCAGTACCAATCCACTGAGCACTGCGAACGCAATCACTAATAAGGAGTCGTGATTATTATTTGACTCGTGTTTTCTGGAGGACTACAATACTTTACACTCTACTATACTGTTCGTCAACCGAAATTATCTTTATATAAATTTCACTAACTGATGACGTCATGTAATGCTCAGTACATTAAACCCTCTCAATAACAGACTTCTCATTACTGGATATTCTCATTAACAGAATCCTCTCAATAAAAGACTTCTCATTACTGGATATTGTCATTAACAGAATCCTCTCAATATCAGACAGGGCTTGCAAGAATTAGTCCGGTATTGGGAGGGTTTACTGTACAGTATATATCTGACAGAAGAATTATCTGGGAAGTATAACAACAGCTTTCCTAAAATACAACATCACTATTTATATTAGTTTCATTAGTGTCTTCAACAACTATGAATTACTTGACAAAATTATTCTAATATGTAACTGTCGACATGAAAAGAATAACAGGTGCTCAAATTAATTATTATAAGGTCCTCCATTGAGGACTAAACAGAGGGAGAGCCAACACGTCCATAGCATTAATAAGTGCCATATTTTTTTCAACATGGTCTTAGTAACAATGTTATTCTCAGGTACTGTATTATCATCTGGAACTGTTTCTGTGTTGTAAATTGTAATAGACAGATGAATAAACTAACAGTTGTGGAAAATAAAGTTTGAGTACAGTACAGTATAAGATTAAACTTTAAAGAAAATTTCAACTCGTTTTTTCTCCATTTAGCTTGTGTTGTGGTCTACATTGTTTTAAGTGATCAGTTTATTGTTGAGACTTAAACCAGATGGAGGGATGACTTTACACCAATTGTTTCTCACTATCTACTGTACTGTACCGGAGATCACGAACATGGCAGCTACAAGACTAAGGAACAACAAGCTGAAGTGATATTCTTTAAAAAAAAATTCTTAACCTTTATATTCATTCCAGCTGTTAAAGTTTTAGGGGCTTCGGTTGTCTGTGTCACTGAGCACCATTCATGAAGTCTTATTTTGTATATAATTTTATTTAGGCTAAGCACTGTAATGTCTGCTTTAATTAAACTTACAGTACTTCCTCAACATGACTGACTCATGCACTGTACTGTACAATACTGTGCATATTGAGCAAGTTCAAGAGACAGAGAGGAATATTTCTCCCAATTAAAATTGGATTTACTGTCCTGTACTGTACTGTAACACACACACACACACACACACACAGGAACACAAAATTCACATACTATGTACAGTATACAGTACTTATTTGCATACATACATACTATCATGTGTTATAATAATAATAGTTGTCCCTCATGTTTGAAAAGGTTGGCCAATCCTAAAGCTATCTGGGCTTGAATTTATCTAAGGTGTAAAAACAGCTGCCAACACATCAGTCACACACTGGTTGGTTAAAGTGTCAAGGAACAACCCAAGAAGATCTGACAACTAGCCAGCTACACTGACTAACCATTACCCAGAACACAATTCACCGACTAATGAACATCCAGGTTCCCAGTTACTGTTGGGTAGACCGAGGCAAATACTGTAGTATGAAGACACTTGCCACCTCAAACCTGGGGCCATACATTCATGAGGCAAGTATGTTGACTGCTGTGTTTACACTACACTGTACTGCACACACAAAAGTAGACATGCATATCTTCTGGCACCTATAAATACACATTAAGTATTACTAAATACACATTAAGTATTACTTCACACACATGTCCCTCCTTCACATGAACTGGACCCTAAACCCCCAAGCCTACACATAAGTTCTTACATCCAGGCCTATGCATTCTGTACAACTCACATAAAACCCAATGACCACAGTCTAATGTAGACTTTCACGAGCAACACTCCAGACACAGTCACTTAACTGTATCAAAGTTCACCATCTTGAAGGTTAATGTTTTTCAGATAGAATCCTGACAAGCTGATCAGACACGTCATTTTTTCTTCATAAATTCACACATTATATCCCCCTACTCACACACAGTGCACAAAACATAGGCAAAAGCACACATAATATGCCCACATACACTATGTACAGTATATTCAAAATCTCATCCAGAGGACTCCGAGGTGCCATAACTGATACAGTTAAGCAAACTACCAGAAGATATACAATACAGTACAGTACAGTACAGTACAGTACACTCAACACTCCAGCACAAGATACCATGACACATGTCCCTTCACACATAAACCTGCATGTGGCATACATCCACACACGACTTAGTCATACACATAACCTCACACTTACTAGAAATAAGCATGTATGTATACATATACATGCAAAGATGTATGTATACAAATACATGCAAAGATGTATGTATATCTCTCAACATATACAGTATCTGTATATGTATACACAAATTCTTATAACACATGCATGTATGTACACAAACAAATGCATAAGCACATATACATATGTATATCCACACAGTATATGTACATCTGTTAAGATAACTCATCATCACTGCATTATGGCCATTTTCCACACCTGCATCAGAGAGCCAAGATTAGGTGATATACTTGTCTAAACTTCATGTGCTCCTACATTCTCTCTTGTCAAGTTCTTATCTCTGAGGTAATCTCTCACAAAAACCTCTCCCTATGTCATTCTCCAAATATCTCTGGCTCTCTTCCTCTCCACATTCAACCTCTTGGATCTCTTGACCTAATCGGCCTCCTCCATCTTTTCCACATATCTTCACCCTTTCAGCCTTACCTCTCTGGAAAACCTTTCCAAGGCTATCAATACCCAGCCCTTCTCTTAGCTCTCAACATTTCTGCAACCTCATCGATCTTGGGAGAGATAAGACCCAGAGATCAGGTGGGAGAGATAAGACCCAGAGATCAGGCGAGAGAGATAAGGTGGATAATATAAGGTGGAAAATAAATCAAATATGTACTGTATTTATATCATTAATATTATGTTTAAAGATGTAATTTTTTTCCATGCTCCAAAATCTAATTAAAAGGAAGCTACAGTACAGAGTCTTGTCACATGGTGTGGTAATGTTGTCGTGTTGTTATCAATTTTTGTCACATTATCACTTCACTGCACTTAACTATGTCTTGTTAGTCTTGTACCCTCATACACTGTACAAGAGAGCATGTAAAATGGCCACAAATTGATGATGATGATGATATACAGTATAAAAGAGTATATATATATATTCTATCTTGCATGTGTGCGCTTATGCTTACTCGTATACAGTACAGTACTGTATTCAAGTGCTGTAGTGTATATACAGTATAAGTAGAAATACATTAACAGACACATGTAGTGAGTGAGACAAATCTTCCTCATTACAATCATACATGGACCAGAACAAGCCTGCCTGCCTCCTGAGCTGAGTTATATGTATAGGCTCCTTCACCGACCAGTTACTATCACACCTTACCTTCAGTTCAGTGACGACTGCAAATTACAATCTGGATAATAACAAATACTGTAATAATAAACATTAATACAGTATACTTATACATTACAGTTCTATACTATTTATTACACTTTCCCAACATATGTTATTAATTTATTCTTAAAATACATTCTATGAACTTTCTTTGAGTGACTACAACAATAGATACAAATTTATGTGGAATACAGGTGAGAAAATGACCATTTCTCACTCCATTTTTTTTATTTAAGCCACAAGGCATGCACCCGCCCCACAAGCAAGGACCACCATTAGCCTACAATACCTTCATGCTGCCAGCCACTACAGCACACTACTGTTACCATTAACTCAATAACATACTGTACAGGGAGCGCACACTAAACATTCTGAGTGACGTGCACAACTAAATACGAAACAGCCAGATCCAAGGAGGAAAAACAAGGATTACAGTATACATGGGAAAATTAAGATACGACAGGAAAATCAGGAATGTCAGGAAAATAGGATAAAGAAGGAAAATTAGTTTATACAAGAAGTTGAAAGAAATTAAATAGAAGGGAATGGGGAAAGCACAAGAAAATAAGGTCGATGTTGTGGATGGGATGACAGAAGTTAAAGAACAGCCGATAAATACATGAAAATGAAAAGGCTTTTGAACTGCCTTATAAATGAATGAAAAAATAATTCATCATTAAGACACGGGAAACAGTT